TGCTTCAAGTATAGTTTCTTTGCTAGAGCAATTACGGAGTGGAATGCTCTGCCAAGTGGCACTGTCACCCTAACCTCAATTAATGAGTTTGTTAAAAACGTTGAGAGCTTAGTACTTTGTCACGCGTCGTAAATGTTGATTAGTCACGATGCCTATCTAGTGTTCTACTCTTACCCTCAGAGTCCATTTCCATCATTTTTTTTGTCACTTGTTGTGTTGGCGTTAATCTGTATAAGTACTTGAGCACTTCGAATGCTGTATCATTGCCTGTCTAGTCACCAAGTCATATAATAACAGCATCTTTTTTTTTTTTTTTTCTCTTTTCGTGCTTTTTGTCGCAGCAGGTATTAGTATTCTCTGCCGCCGTTCTCTCTTTTTTTTCCTTATTGTGCATTGTTGTTTGCATGTATGTGATTTACTGCATTGTATTACCCACTCCTGTAAAAGCCCTGTCTAGGGCTGACAGTATCAATAAATAAAAATAAATAAAATAGTCTGGAGGAAGACTGTATGAACGTGTGAAAACGGCGACAGTTCTACGTTAGGTCAAGCCCCCAAAACGAGCAGTTTTTTCGTACTTCCTCTTTGTCCCTCCTATCGGCAAAGCCGCCACGAGAGGTTAACCAATATCCCCACATCTCCCTTACTTATCACTCCAAGGGTTTTAAATGCTCATAAATATTTTTTAGGGGAACGCATACATATTTCGCTCCTCGTATGAGTGTGGTGGTTTTGCCGCAAGGAGGTTCAGTCTCTGGAAGATCTGTTAGGGAAACCTGCACCTTAACGTTGCTGTCTGGCTTGGTACTGGAATCAGATATGTTATGTTTCTGCGAATGTGGTCGCCGCCATAGGCGTAGACTATGAGGGGAGGGGGTGGGGGGGGGGGGGGGGGGGGCAACGGGGCTCGTGCCTCCCCTGGTGAAATCTGCACCCCCCCCCCCCCCCCCCCCGGGCCATGATCCTTACCGAGACGCTGTTTACGTGCCATGTAACGAGCTTCTAGTAGCGACATGCAAACAAAATAACGCGCACGTTGCCTTTATTAGGGAGTTTTAGAATAGCGCACGCTAGAGCTTTGCGTACGCAAAGAATAGCGTCGTCGCCACTGCGCATGCTCCGAACGCAAACCAGGTTTTGCGCTTTGCGCGCGCAATTTTAGCGTGCTTTATTTTTCGGAAATAGCGTGCGTATGGAAAGAGTCTTTGCGCTTCTCCGAGGGGCATTCGTGATGAGAAGTTGGCTGAAGCCAAGACAAGCAGAGTTAAAAAATGGCGGCTCCCAAGATTATGTCGGCGGCTGCTTTGGCGGCGTCGTGAATGCGACGTCGGCGGCATCCTCGCGACTGCAATTTTCATTACAGGACGACATTGTACTCGGTTTGGCAGCGATCATCGGCAACTTGATGCTTGTGACGGCGATGGTACGATGCGCGAAGGTCAGTACACGAGACCTCTCTTGCCGAGGCGACGCAAGCGGACACGACCGGTCAACCGCTCGCGTCGCATTGTCATGTTTAAACAAATCTAAAATAGTACTCTGGACCAAAAAAAACGTTTTTTTTTTTTTTCAATATTTACAGCATTTCGTGTGTGAAATAAAAATTGTGACTGTATCTTGGTGGCGTCGCAAGCGCGAGATGCTGGGGCTTTTGCGTCGCGACGGAGAAACGCGGTTCTAAAACTCTCTCGCGTCGCGCGCGCTAATACAAGCGCTAAATTTAGCACTAGCGTGCGCTAAAATTGCGTACGTTATTCTAAAACTCCCTATTGACAATATACATGGGAAATGGAATTCCAGCGTGTTTTCGTTAGCGTGAATCTCCAGTTCTGGCAAAAAAAAATAACGCCGAAACACCCCCCCCCCCCCGGGAAAATGGAAAGTCTACGCAGCTGGTCGCCGCCATCAGTGTTAACCAAAGTGTGACCTATGTTAATTTGCACTGCTCTGCACCACTTCTTACCGTTGCAAGTCGACTATCCACAGATGTGTTCCGTCGTCCAAGTCAATCAGGTCTCTGACCCAATGTCGGCGATCGAAGTCTTGCTCATGTTTTTGTTGCTGCGAGGTCTCAAAGGTTCTAACGCTGTTAAAACTAGGAAGGCAGAGAACGAGGCACTCGTCAGCAACTGGAAGAGTTGTCCGCAGCCTCCGTACCTTTAGGAGTTCTGCTGGACTATACTCATTTAACAGTGAAGCTGTTTAAGGCAAGGGCTCCATGGTTTTTTTCGTGTGCAGTGACTAAAACCTTTACTCTCGCACCGCCACACGCGCCGCACGCTTACGCCTTCCCCGTATAAAAGATTCGAAGTAAATAACCAAAATAAAGCGTTGGTGAACGCGCGTGCAAGGTGCCATTTGTTTTAGGCTTGTTACTTTAGAACAGTTACTGCTGCAGATGCCGGCACGTGCGGCGCGTGGTACACTATTACCTGCATTATAGCGTCCTCTATACTGACAAAGCCTTGCAAAGCCTGGCAGATCGCCACGAGGAGCGGCCGCCGAAATTGAAAAGGTAGAGCGGCAGTCAACGGACGAGAGAAGAGCCACGTGACAGGTGCCCCGCTGCGGCGGGACGCCGATACACACCTCTCCCGAGCGATGGAATGTCCGCTCGTGCTCCTCGCGCTACTGCTTCTTTTCTCGTCTGGTTTGAAAACCATGTTTCGAGGCCTCGCCGCTGCAAAAGCTGTGCGCTGACGTCCTGGTTGCTCGAGAAATGTTCTGTGCAACCAGATCCTCACGCTAACCACGCCGATGAAACCAGCCGAGTTGTCGCCGTTTCGTCGTCGTTCTTTTGGAACCGCAAGCCGCAAATTCTGATTCGGAATGAAACGGGACAGAGAAATACTGTGCCTAGATTTGAGAGAGTTTCCAACCGTTCGATAGCCGCGTTTGAATTATGAACTGCCAAAAAGTTACGAAAAGACGAAAGCGTCGATCGGGCTGGCGCCGTCGCTCTTGCGTTTGCTCGCCTTCTTTCCACGCGGCAAGACAACACATGCGCACGTACGAGCAATCTGCGCTGGAGCCGACTCCGTGGTTTCAGCTTCGCTTGCTCCCTCTTTTAAATCTAGGCTCTCTAAAACAGGATAGATGGACAGAGGAATGTATGAATAGCGGCAGTTCGACGGCGACTTGCGCCACCCAACCACGTTTTTTTTTTACTTGATTATATTGTTTAAGCCTGTTTACTAAGATTTAACCCTCTCTGCTTATTTGTGTGAAATAAAATCCCGAGTGCCCTTTTTCTTCCTTATAATTGAGACGAAATACCGCAAATGCACCTTTTCTGAGATATATAAATATAAAAAAGTAAATGACTGTAACTATGTTTTTTTTTTGTGACGCTTAAGGTAGATAGATTATGTTTACGCCATAAAATTGGATCTCTAGTGTCCAACGTTCATCAGTAACTGCTTCTTTTTTTTAACCATAATTCTTAGGCATTTGCTTTTTTTTGTTTCGCACGAGATGCATCTTCTGCACCAGGCGCATACTCTGCACTTATAATAATCTATTTCGCAGCACACTTTGAAAAATTTCTACAAATAAAATCACTATTCAATATTCAATTCGATATTCGTTTTTTTTTTTTTTTCTTAATTCGATTCGGTATTTGATTCAAAAACTACTATTCGGTATTTGCACACCCCTAATATTTATGTTTGTTTACGATTGGGATGGTTTGCCTTCTAGCACTGCAAGCATTGCTACATTCATTTTGATAGTGCTCTAGATATATATTTTTTTTTAATTATAAGTAAATAATCATGCCAACTAGTTCTTGCTAACTAAAATGTCAGTTTATGTATTTCTGTATAATCTCATGCCCTTATATTCTGTACACCTCCATGCCTTTGGCCAGCAAAATTCTTCAAATAAATAAATAAAATGTACCGCAATATACCTTTATAGCCCCCGAGCTAAAGCGGGAACACGATTGACAACGAGAGCGGTGCATTTCGGCACCGCGCGATCAGTGGCGCGTGCCATGAGACGAGACACGGAGATTCGGGCGACATGGTGGATCGACATTCGGCGCTGGCCGGCTGCTGCCCTGGAACTTCTAACCTTTTGTAAATATTGTAAATATAAATGCATGGTTACTTAAACCAATCTCGCTACATTTATATTTACAATATTTACAAATGATTATAATTTCTAGGGCAGGAGCCAAGCAGCGCCGGACGTTGATCCACCATAGTTGCGCTTGAAGTTTTTATACAACATTTATAACAATAAAACTGGCATTAATAGCTCATTTTACTTATTACCACCAAATTATATCTCAAAAATAAAAGACCACATTCATAAGATTAGAGAATACCGCACCAGGACGGAATTGGGCAAAAATTCTTTTTTTGTTAAAACAATTAAGGAGTGGAATGCCTTGCCCAGTGCGATTGTGTGTGCCGTGAATTCAGAAATGTTTTTTCAGAGCTTATTCGCCCCCTGCGATAATGCCTGATGGCGCTGCAGGACAATGATGAATAAAGAATAAAGAATGTCGCCCCGAATCGGTATTGTGGCACGCACCGCCGATCATGTGGGGCCGAAACGCACCGCTCCGATTTTACACCACATTCTAGCATACTTGGTGTTATACACTAACATTTTAATATGCTCTTAGTAAACAAAAAGTATAGTTCAAGTATATCTCCATAGTTCATAAAATTAATATATGTTTAGCGTATTGCCTTTTGTCACCTCCCACATTTCTATCGCAATCTCTGCAATTACCAGGTACCCCTGCACAAACCTCATGAACTACAGTTTGCGTACTCTAAATGGGCAGGAAGGTTAATGAGCATCCACTTGAAATAGCCGCAAGCTCATGAACAGCCAGAGAAACAAGACTATTAAAAACGCATCAGTTGAAGAAAAAAAAAAGTCAAAAGCAACGTGGGACAAATGGCCACCAAGCTGTACCTATGAATGAAGGCAGCAGGGCTCAACTGAAGCAGAGAACAGAAAACCCATGACGGTGGTCTTTTTTGTTAAAGCCATTCGCAACAAATGATGAGCCCTTTATTATTCAAAAAGTATGTAAATTGCCTATTTGGTGCCAGAAGGGGCATCACCATCTCCAGCTGCTGGAACCACTTCAGACAGCCACTTGAGGTAGGGCGGGTTTCCGTGCTGTATCTGCATTCACAACAGCCAATACAAAAGTTGTCAAAAAAAAAAAAAACCCATATAAATGATGCCCAGGCCAACCCCCCCCTTTATTCAATTCCAAATGTGATAGATATGAAAGGCAAACTAGACTGTATAACATAATGCTAACATGACAACAAAAGTTCATCGCAATTTACACACAGTTAGTGGCGAGTCACAAAGTTTACCATTAAAGTTCATTCTTTATCTTTTAATGCTAAAGCATTAACTGTCTCATGGAGCGAGCTGACGTCATCAGTTTGAAGCGTGAAAACTGCTCCTAGTTTCCGCGAGCCTTCGGTTCCATTGGCTGGCGCGCCTCGACGGGGCTCCCATTGGCCGCTGCGCCATGGCCTCCGAGATCCCGAAACGCGCACGCGTTAGTACACAGCAGACGACAAAGGGGGCGGACGAGCAGACGACAAAGGCAGCGGACGAGCGGCTTGCAGGCTTTCGCATTCACAACTCATAAAAAATGCTTAGGTGTACCGCAAGCTTTTTTATTTTCCATGCTCATGAACAGCTGCCTGAATAATGATGCAGAAACACCTTTTTGGTTTTCAATTATGTAGAATTTGCAAGGTATATGTACATGGGTAGCGAAGCTTCCATAGAAGCCCACATGTCGAAAAAATGGCGGCCCATGGAGCTGCTTTAGCGCCATCTATGAGTCGTGGGGACACTTCCGGCGGAACAAAAAATCAACAGGAAATTACGACACTTCCGGAAAAAAACGTGACGTCATGCGTGCGTGCGGTTTGGCGCGAAAATTAAACAAAACTAATTCCAGAGATTACAGGTAAATGAACGACATATACACTAAAAAGTCTCAAACATAGCTCCGTGTTTGAGCTTTGTTTGATACTTTTTAGTGTATGTCGTTCTTTTTACCTGCAGTCTCGGCTTTTTCTTGGGGTGTTTACACCTTGTGTTTACTCTATACTGGAATACTGGATCGTTTACACCCTTATTTGCCCTTGCTCTTATATTTTGTTCGAAATGTTTTTTTTTTTCTGCAGCCGACTTTTTTAGCCGACCTGCTATGAGAGTAGTTTCATTTCGTCACAACCATCGTGTCTTTGCACTGTGGTCAAACTCCAGCCGCAGTGTTTTGCTTTTTGTTCCTTCAGGATCCCTGGGAAGTATGTGAGAAACCTTAAAGCAAATTTTGTAATGTCACAAAAAAGAGTGAATGAAATTGCTGGAGTGTGTTGGGCGTATGAAATACACAACAGTAACTCTAATGCAAGTCCAACGTCGCTTTAACAGTCGCGTTTTATTTGTTTTATTCACTTACAATCATTCACTCAGATTACTCACTAGAATTATACAATCGGTATCAACTATTTTCAAAAGGTCATGGTCGAAGAAAATTTGTAGATCGGTACATAAGGCACACTGTTATAACATAAGACATTGTACAATCGGCTGGATGTTGTGAGGACATTGACAGTTGATAGTCAGCCACTAATAACTCGGAGGTTCCACAGTGCTTCGACGACAACTGAGGCCACCACTGTAATACACAGAAAAGCCCCACTTTTCTACACATTCCTTGGGCAAGGTACCATAATGCTGCAAATATCTTAACTTGCATCTGCTGGTGCTGCTACACTGCAACGCAGCGATTGTTTGGTGCAGGTCAAGGAAGCCAAGTGGAGTAAACCCTCTTGGAGCCCTGTGGTATGCTGCACTTCATAAGCCAGTGTTGCTTCACAGCTTTAAACTTTATATATGTGAATAAGTTAGATGACTACATTACTCCTCAAGAAACCGAAGAAAATGAAAGGCTCGAATAGAACATGCCTGCGCTGCTTTAAAAAGTACTCTGGGTGGTCTCGCATACGTGGTCTGCGCACTTGCTGCCTAGCTTTACACTTTGCTACTGTATGAAATAGTCAGCATTTTTTTTTCTCGCGCGAACCAGTGCAGAATGACTCTGGCATTCAGAGAAAACAAATTATCATAAACACTTTCGTCACATACAGTCAGACACTTCGAAATATTCTGGTTAAAAAGGACACAAAGAGTCCGTCCTACGTTCTCCTTTGAAATTAGGTTGTTGATACATGTCTCGAAGACTTCCTCACAAGCTTCAACAAATAATATGAAAGAAGCAGAAGGAACTGAGAGGATTCTAAAGTGGGAGTCGGCAGTTCCTTTCACACTCAAATACAAGAGCACTTGATTTCCCTAAGAAAAACACGCATTTTCTGTCCTCAACTGATATTTCTGGAATGTTCCTACACAGAAATGAACCTTGAAGAATATCGATGCCAGCCACCCAGCAAAATAAACCATGTTGTTCTCTCCTATTGCCAAGGGGTAGTTTGAAGGCGAATCGTCTGCCGTGGTAAGAAAAACTGTGCTTCCTAAGGCAAGACGAGGAGAATGTGCCAAAAGGCCTGCTGGGAACGTATAGCAAGGAGAGACATGTCATCAGCACAGTTTGATTTTTCCGGCAGCTTGAATAGGTTGCTAATCAAAAGTTGCCCAGAACGCAGCCTGAAATTGACGGAAAGTGGAGTTCGTTTTTGCACCTGATTTTGAACGTATAACAGCAAAAGTGTTTTCAAGGGTGTCCTTGTTCAGATGGCGGCTTAAAAGGTGGGAAAAACCGCAATTAACCGCGAGGTGACTGCTGAGCAGCAGTAGATACCTAACTGTTAAGCAGAAGCCACAAATGCAGTGCGGCTGCCTTCCACATCCGAGTACTTGCAGGCTCTTAAAAACCAGAATGCACTCTTTCAGAAACTCCTCATGGATAGAGCCGTTACAGATTGCAGAGGCATATGGCGTCTTTGCAGATTTCTGCGAGCTATTTAGGCTGTCAAAGAGACGGTTGATTCTTTCAACGAATCTCGCTGTGTGAACAGCTGTGGCTGGCAATTGCTAAGAAGTAACAAGGGCATACATTGCAGCTGCGCAGTGATTGCTAAACACTTGAGCTGCTAGCTTCAACGACATCTTTGACAAGAAGGTCAAATTAAAATGCTTCTCCTTCAGCTTTGGCATACAACCGGTCTCAAGTTTACGGTCCTTTTCATAAGCTTCCTTGATGTAGGAACTTTACACTATGTAATCACCAACTTTTTAGTCGTATTTAAATAACATGTTTCTTAGTCACTTCAAAAGGTGCGGAGCATCGAAAAGAAAAAAAAGTGGCTTGCCATTGATCTCTACGTAAGGCTTTTCGGCAGTTACGATGCTTGAAAAAGAGACACGTTCTGGCACCGTTCATCACATACAACAGCTACCGGCTTCAGGCCAGCGTCCAGAAGGGCGCTGTAGCACTGGAAAAAGAGATCTTTTAGTACATCTGAAGGTGTGCCTTTGTGAGCAAAAAATAGCAAAGCGGCTGCTTCCACGGTGTTCGGACTCCTTTCGCCATGAACATAAGAGCCTTATTTGCCAGTTTTTTGCCTTGCTGTCCACTATGTTCTTTAAGTCTTTCAAACCTGTCAGACGAGGGGTTGTATGAAAGCTCTTTTTTGATGTGCATTTCATCAGACTATGCTGCAGGCCCGATCGGCTCGAGGAAAAGAAGCTGCCCGCCTCTTTATCAGCTCGAAAATGCCAGGGTAAAATCCAATCTTTAGTGGCACACCCTGAAGCCATATAGCTGCAGTGACCTTACTAATGGCAGCCTGAGCAGTCGCCTGCGATACTTATAGCCTTTGGGGCTATGAAAGTAGAGGCCTAAAGCCAAGGCTTTGTTGTGGCTGCACCATCTCTGGCCAAACCGGCTCACATTGCTCATTCTAAGCTGGGCTTCAACGAGTGCGGCGACACGAGGAGACACATGAACGCGGACACTCTCAACGACTTTGGCAACAGTCCTCATCTGACGTTGTCGTTGCAGCCTTCTTTGCAGCCTCTTGTTACGCTCTTGTAGCTGTCGCACCTTGGCTCTCAGGCGTTCACCTTCTTGTCGCCGATGCTGCGGCTTTTGCAGGGTGCTGCAATTTGGCAAATGACCCCCAGATTAGGTTTCCAAGAAAAACTTGCAATCGCCATCAATTTATTAAATGTGTAATCTATTCACGCTCAAGAACATTCCTCAATGATCTGAAGTGTCTTTAAACAAGAACCGCAAGTTTGAAAAACTACACACGCAATTCAAGTTTAGGAAAGCAATAATAGATCTTTATGTCGGACTAGGCGCTTCATGTTGGCCAGAGACCTGATAGTCCAAAAAGACAAGGGCGCACACAGAAACATGCAAGTCGGAATAGGCATCCAAACTGTGAAATGCATTTTCTTAAAGCTTGACCATACCTTACTTATGCCCATGGCATTGTAACAGTGAAGCGCTCGCACAACAACAGGCGACTAAAGTTTGGCAGATAGGACAAGGGACCATAACAGGCTCAGCATCACACACATATGACCACGGCAGCTTTTCGATAACATTAAAAAACACTGTCTTACTTGAGGTTTTGCGGGAAGACTTATGATTCAGTGAAGCCGGTTCAGCTGTTTTGATTTGACGGTGTTAACACCTGCGTGTGGAACATTTTTTTTTGTCTTTTTGTGTGCTTGACAATGACAATACCATGAAATAAAAATGTGGTGAACTTTGAACAAACTTCGATTTGTAGCTGCCAGCTAGTCGGTCTGGTGTTATGTGACCCCTTGCGTCATCTGCTTTCAAGATAAAGTTTAGTATTCCCTGGTGTTTTTCGAGCCTTGGCTTTTTATTTTTGCGGCCTGATATCTTATAACTTCACAAAAAAAAATAAAAAAGTTCGCATCATAGAAAGCACTCACATTTGTGAGAAGGCCCAGCAGCACAGCCAGAGAAAGAGTCTCTAGGCGACGGTGAAGAAACCAAAATCTCCATGTCAGCCACGTGCCCGCTAAACTCTTGAGCAGGAGCAGCATCTTGACGTAAAGCGTAGCTGTGATCAACCGCAAAAAAAAAAGAAAGAAAAGCTTTTGTAAAAACTGCAAGTAAGAAAGCAAGTTCAACAGAGTGGAAAGTTGGA